GCTGAAATCAAGAGTCAGATGCTCAACCAACTGAGCCATTCAGGTGCCCCTAAAAAATCTTTTTTATATGAGTATAATAGACACACGATGTTACATTAGTTTCACATGTACAATGCTCACCACAAGTGAAGCTACACTTACCACACATTATTACGTTATTAAAACATTGTTGACTATATTCTCTATGCTGTGCTTTTTATTCCCATGCCTTTCTGACTTATTTCACTGAATATAATACCCTCTGGGTCTCATCCATGTTGTCTCAAATGGCAAGATCACATCCTTTTTTATGTGTAATATTCCATTTATGTATATTTGTGTATATTAAAAAATATAATATATATATGTATATGTATATAAAAAATATCTTCTTTATCCATTTGTCTATTGATGGACACTAGGTTGTTTCCATATCTTGACTATTGTAAATGATGCTGCAATAAACAAAGAGGTGCATATAAAAAAAATAAATAAAGTGAGATCCAGCTGTCAATGGGAGGGGATTATTTTAAGGATGTGAATACCAAGTGTGGATCACAGAGTGCCATCTGAAAAGTCAGTCTACCACAGTCTCTTACCTTCTTTTTCACATCTCTTCTCTTAATTTCTCTGTGCTGATTTCTGAATTGTCACCTAAATTTTTCCAATTTACTAAATCTCTGTTCAGTGGTGTCTACTCTACTGTATAACCCATACATTGCGTTTCATCAATTACCTTATTTTTTTGTTTCTATGATTTCCGCTTGGAATGAAACATGCTTATTCTCTTTTACTTAAATCCCTTACTCTTATTTTCTTCTTTTATCTCTGGGTGTTTTAAATCAACCTATTTTAAAGCCTCATTTATTTTTCTCTTTTATTTATTCTTTCTTAGATGAGAATCTTCCCACTTACTCCATCTTCTGACTGTCTCTCATGCAAGTAGTCTCAGTGTGCTTTGTAATTTTTAAAATCTATGAATGTTCTTCAGTGGGATTTATCTTCCATGGTAACACGTGGAAGTTGCATTTATATACTTATTTCTAGAGACATCACTATGAGAGTGATTTTTCAGTGCCTATAATACATACAAGTTCAGAAACATTTCCTTAAGTTTTTCTCTCTTCCTTGGTTTTTCTCTTTTTCTATTACCATTCCTTCTCACTTGTCTTTGCTTCCTTCTTCAGTCAGTTCCCTGACTCAAAATATTAGAATTCTAGAGTGCTCTGTCCATAGTCTTTTCTTCACCATCAGTATCTGGTCACTTGGCTTTAAATTTTATGTGTATTGGATGAGTCACAAATCCATCTTTCTCTCTCCAACTATGAACTACACACTTAGTTATTAAATTTCTAATTCAGCAGTTTGATATTTAATAGGCATCTCAATCTTAACATTACTGAAATATTTACTTGAGTGTATTCATAATGCTGAACTGAAGGGGGTAATAGAGAGGTGGCATTTGAAGATAGAGAAGACAGAGCTAGTTCCAGAGACTAGGTCAGTGGGCCTCAGCTTCAGAGTTTGAATGTGAGAAGAATTTAGTTATAAATCCAGATTCCTAGGCTACATCGCTAGAGATTCTGCCATGGCCGTTCTAGGCTGGGATCTAGGACTCTGCATCTGAATATCCCAGGTGATTCTGTTGTGGGAAGCTAAGCACAACACTTTGAAAAACTTTTTCCTACCTGATGGTTATAGTGGGGCTCCTAATATTATGCTGCCTACTTTGTTCTTGTTACTTAAGGACAGGGAACGAGTTAAGTCTTTTCACATACACAGCTGGATAAGGCTGGGAAATTTTAATTGTGTTACAATTACTCACAAAATTAGATTTTTTCACCTTTCCTTGTAGGCCAGTTTTAGCACAAGAGAGATTTGTTAGACTCACCTATCTTATTTAAGTAAAGTGGCTCTGACAAGGTTTGCTAAGATTGATAGCGTATAAAAAGAAAGATTGAAGATAATTGTGTAACTTTCTCAGTTCTATATTCATCTCTCCTCATAAATCTGCATTCTCTGATCTTTTAAGCTGCTTCTTTCTTTCTTATTGGAATTCTCAATTCCCCACTATTTTATCTTTTACTTTCTGAGTCTTCCTAAACCTGTCTTTTTTTGCATGTTAATCTTTATTAACATGCCTATTTCAATGGCGCTATCGTGGCAGGTATAGTTTTCATGCTACTAACCATTATAGAAACCTCTTTTTTGGTAGGAGAGCCAGTCTGTCACGTGAGAAACCCAAATTCATTCAAGCATACAGTATGCCTTTCCCAAAACAAGAGACCGTATTTAAAAGAGGAGTATTAAAAAAGCCAACTAAGATAAAAATAGTATGCCCATTTTATTTCTTAACTCCAAGTTGACCACTTCTTTGTTGCATTTCACAATATTAGATTCAGTTCTCATAGAGGGGAGGGAGAAAAGTGTTCACTTTTCAGAAGTATAGAAACTTCCAGGACACTATAATATTATTGAGTAAATTACTTTCAATAAAATTCTAAATGGACGTCTTGTGGTCAGAAAGTCAATATACATCTAAAACATTTTAGCACCAATCTCCATTAATAAAACACTGCAAGAATAATAACATTGAAGTACCCTGTTGTGAATTTCATAATATTATATATGTTCCTAAAGACATTTTCATTTCCAAATCTGAGGATCTCTTATCAGAGCAACAATTATTTCAAGGTCATCATTGCCCAATCATCATCTTTGGAAAATTATGGTAGCTTGATTGCTTTTTAAAAGCTTTTAGTATATTTAGCAAACTCAAGATTGAAGATACAATTGGTATATATTACAATTTCAGAATTCACATGAAATATAATTGTGATTTGAATAATCTGAAAGGCTGAAGTCACTGGTACCCAAAGATGATTCCCAAAGTGTTATGTCATGGAAGAAAGCACTTAAGCCAACTAAAAATAACCTGTCTTTATATCCCTAAGTGAAAGTTGAAAGCATGTTGGTAAGACAGAATTGCTGAAGATGATAGAAATATATGCTGGTCACAAAAAGCTTGATGGAGGGCAAAAGCTGTAAAAACTAGCAATTCCTCTACTATAAATATTCAATAAGAATTCTAGGCACCCCAGAACTTTTATAAAAAGAGGTAGGTAATTTTCTAAGGACAGTATTTGTACCACTTCTTGTTTCTGTGACCTACCAAAGGAAAATCTGGGTGGCATTACTTGTGATACGTTTACTCTGCTTATCATCTTATATAGAAGATCTTTGCTTTTCTAACTGATGCTTGACCTAGTGATATTCTTTTGGGTCACGTGTACATGTTATCTATTTCTTCCTGTGGCCAATGACAAATAGGAAAAGGAGTTAGACAAGTCAATGGATATTTGCCTAACAGAGAAATAAAGGTGAATGTATCATGGTATCTGGACAGCCATATTACTAAGGAGAGAATGGTTATTGTTACAGAACGAGAAGTTGCTGAGTGTATTCAGATTTCTGCCTTCAGCTTAAAATATTCTGCAAGCATTTAAAAAAAAATCATACATTGCTAGCTATAATACAAACAAGATAAGTATAAAAAAGAATTGTATTAAAGGCTATTGATTAAAGGGAGGAAGGCTTGGATATGACATTAATGGTTATGCAAATCATAACAGGGCATCCAGGAATGGAAACTCAAATGGATGTTAGAACTGGGAGTATAGATAAAGGAGGAAGTTCTGGACTGAAAGATGTGTAAGAATATCTAATAAATAGGACTTTTTCACACTACACCCACTTCTGTCCACCCTAAGTCTCTGAGATGCCTCCAGACCAGCCAAGTGTGTCCTATTTGTGGGATAATGAAGCAGGGAAAAAGATGGAAACCAACTGATCTAAATTCTTCACAAGTCTTAAAGCTGCCTGAGGACAGGTAATTCTCTTTATCAGATATTTCTACTCATCTCACTGAATAAGATCTTTGATTTTTGTTTTTTGCTTTCTCACCATTTCAGGGTGCTTTTCCAGAAATAATGATCAAGTGTTGGCAATTCAGCAGAAGAAGAGTGGAAAGCCAGTATTCACTTATCACCATTCACAAGACATTGAGAAGAGCCTGGATATAACTCCACAAAAGATATATAAGCATACCTATCATTCCTCTTCTAAAGCTCAAATAAACAAACGCCACCAAATTGTTAATTCAGCATTTCCAAGACCTGCGTATGACCCATCTCTCAATCTGCTGGCTATGGCTGGTCAAGATCTTGAAGTGGAAAACCTTCCTATCCCTGCAGCAAATGTAATTGTGGTGGTAAGTGTTTTGTTTAACTGATGCTGATGCTGATGCCGATACTTTCCTCTGTGGTTGATTCTTGGAAAAAAAAAAAAAATCAATGGTGCATAGTTATCACTGGATCTCAAGGATTATTTACCACTGCGCTTCTCATTCTTTGATATTTCTTTTCTTTTTTGGTACTTGATTATTGTCTCTTGGATGCCTCTTGAATGTAAGCCCATGAAATAAGAAACCTTGTCTGTATCCTCTGTGCACAGCAAGGTGCGTGGTACATAGTAGGCGGTCAATAAATATTTGAGTAAAAAATTGCTTTAGGAAAGCCTTGCAGTTATAGTAGGTAATACTCTGCACTGAGCCTCTGTCTTCTGTGACAATCTGTTCAGCAGACAGGGCTTAGTCTCAGTTTACATAACTAATTTGTACCTACTGAAGATCTTCTAGCCACTTGTCTTAAAATTGTAATGAATGAAGAGACTACTGAAAGGTGGAAGTGTAGTAGAGGGGGAAGGTAGTTTTCTGTCACTGGAATAATTGGGAGTAATTGATGGATAATATTCTTAATATCACTGAAGAGGCATCACCCTTTATTAATCAAGATAATGCAGTGGTTCCATTGCTCATATTTTCAGGGTATGTAACTCAGGCCAGAGTTCTCCAATTTATGGAAGTATCATAGTTTAAATACATACTTTGAATACAAGTTCGACACCCTGTTTAGACTACAGTCCCTCTTAAGTTTAAAATCACAACAGGAGGATTCACATTAAAACTGCAAGTCAGTAGCTAAATGACTGCTGTTGCCTTTTTGCCCCCAAATGTAATCAAATATGTTGACTTTTGAGGCCAAGATCATTGAATGAAGCCATGTTTACATTTTGACAACCTCTCTATGAACCAAATGTAGTTAAATTTAATAAGCTTTTTTTCTTTTTCTTTATTTTTTATCTTCTACACATAGGATGCTTTACTTGATCTTGAGAATCAAAGATCCATTCATTGATGTTTTCAACTAGCATACACTGAGTATTTATTATGATCCAGTTGTCATTTGGGGGATCCAGAAAGAGACAGATGAAATGGAATCTCTGGTTTTGCTTGGCAAATGTTTGAGGGGAAATGTCGGTAATTCAGTAAAAAATCATCAATTGAGAACACAAGATGAGCTCTTGTTACAAAATATGTGGGTCACTTGGCCTCCTGAGGTACTCGAACAAATTTTGTACATTTACATGAGTAACAGATGTTCTGAAGGTGAAAGCCATGTACTCTGTCTATTCGGTGAAGACAAATGATGTTAACGATGTGGCTGTATCTGGATATGCCTGTGTTAATACTAGGGGCTCATGGGAGATATTTCCTCTGGTGACCATCATATTCCCATAGTCATCAACTCTTGAAGTCACTGAATTGCCATTCAAGAGGTTTGTTCTATCTTGTAATGTCATGCACTCTCTAGTTAATTTAATATTATGGAGGATAAAAGGCATCAATGAGGAATTCTGGCAGGTCATTTCACTTTTAGCTTATTCGTGGTTTGAAGACTCATGAAGAAGCTGTGCTTTTTCTTCTGAGTGATGATTACATGGAAGCAATAGGCGAATTTGCTGTATTAGCCTCCCCTAACCTCTTGTGATCTAGTCTCTAATCATGCTGTGGCTTTGGTAGCTTGCAACAATTGCTAGTGTCAGTGTTTCATATAATCTATCAACATTACTTATGCACGTGTGATTTAGTAGGAAAACCAGAGAAGTGGGGTTATTTTTAAATAAATCAGTAATGTTCTGCTTACTCAAAAAATAGATGGTCAACACTCCGTCAAGTGTTAGCTGGTATGTGTATATATATATATATATATATATATACATATATATATATATATATATTTGTGTTTTATATATATATATATAATATATATATATATTATTTAGGAGTTTACATATATAAAACAATATATATAAACAATATATATTGAGGAATATTGTAGTGCTAGCAAAGAATTTATTTATGGCTTAATTTATACCAAAATGAGCAGCGTTCATGAGTATGTTTCCTGAATTAGAGAAATTATTGGGTTTTTTTTCAGCCAGAATAAAAACACCAGTGCCAATTTCCAAAAAGTGTATGTAACTTTCAAGACTTCCATTGAGAGGAAGAGATGACTTTTTCTCTTCCTAAATGAGAAATTTAAAAGGGACATGGAAGATGTATGTGTCACTCCTCCTTCTCAGATTGTCAGTTGTCTCCACAAAGAATTTCATTAGAGCATTTGTCCACAAATGATTTTTTCCATTTTTTTCTTTCTTTTATGATCAGGAAAATCTGTAGTTTATTTATTCCAAGGAAAGAACAACACAATTAGAATGTTTATCCCAAAGAATGCTAATTACATCCCACAAGCTCAACTAAGATGTGGTTATTAGGATTTCTGTACAAATGGAATACAGAGGGAATATGAATGTCCTCAAGGTCAGGGCTGTAGTAGGAGTAAAAAAAATTGGCTTTAAACAAATATGTGCTGGAAATTCCATAGTCCTACATCAGGCAGCAAGCCCCCAACATCAGGAAGGAGAGAACTTAGGGGTATGGATGAAAACGGTAGAGTGGAACCAACTAAAGGCTTTTCCGGTTCAGCAAGATCCATATAGGTTGCTGAGTGAAGAATGTTCTAGCCTGGAGAAAATCTGAGAAAACTGGGACTAGAAAGGCTTTGGAATGAATATAAAAGTTGGGACATTATGACTTACTTCATGGAATGTTCTTCATAGGAAGGAAAATAAAAGGAAGAAAAGGGAGGAGAAGAGCTAAGAAGAGGAGGAAGCAGAGGAGGATGAGAAAGGAAAGTGGAGGGAAGAAGGTGGGAAGGGATAAAGGAAAGGAGAAAAGAAGGAGAGGGGCACCTGGGTGGCTCAGTCGATTGACTGTTGGACTCTTGGTTTCAGCTCATGTCATGACCTCATGGTTTGTGGGATCGAGCTCCACATAGTTCCACATCAGGCTCTGTACTGACAGCATGGAGCCTGTTTGGGATTCTCTCTCTCCCTTTCTCTCTGCCCCTCCCCTGCTCGTGTGCACACACATTCTCTGTCTCTCAAAATAAACATTAAAAAAGAAAGGAAAGAGGAGAAAAGAGAGGATATAGGGACAGTTCTTGGGGCAGAGAGAAGACTTCTGTGAGCACATAAGAAGATGATGGGGGAGTTTCCAGTAGCCTTAGATGGCCTCTGTGAGTTTCCCAGACTCCTAAAACTTTTTGTCTTGCTCACCACTCACCCAGACCAGCACATAGACATTCTCTTGTTTTATGACACAAACTCTCTTTGAAAACATTTTCATCAGGCAATTGATTCAGAAGACCCTTAAAACCAAATGCTTTGAATAATTCTGGCTTTCAGTTACATCCTGAGTCTGTGTTATGCTTCACTTCATCTTGGTTCTGCTGTGGACTAGTTTTTGAGGTTCATCTTACAAGGGAAGAGGTAATTTCTAGATGAGATTTGAACAGCTTAGAAGGTCCAGCCTTGACACAGTGAATAAAGTCCAGCCTTGACACAGTGAATAAATTTTGTAATGTTTAGTGTATTTTATGTTTTGTGGACAGGTAATTGTTGAACACTTTTTTAAAAGACATGTTGTTTTAATCATAATTTTGTACTTGTGTAGGAAATATCCTAAAAGGTGGACTTAGCCTTTGTACCTACTGTTGAAATTCTGCCATGTCAGGGAAGGTTTATTAGTTAGAAATATTTTGTGGCAAGTGACAAGAAACCAGTCCAAACTAGAGAAAATTTTGTCGTTCAGGTAACAACATTTCTGTAGTATATATAGCTTTAGGTGTGGTTTGATCAAAGACAGATAATTGGCCAGCTTCAGTCTCCAGGTCTGCTTCCTCTGGGGTAACTTCATTCTCAGATGGTTCTCTCTTGTTCATCTCCACATGGTTTCCTGAACCTCCTGGAGTTTTGTCCTTGCAGGTTCATTTTTAGTGGGAAAGAATGACTCTTTCACAACCATCAATAATATCCTGGGTATCTCTATGACTAGTGCAATTTAAGTTAATTACTCACTTCATCCCTGAACAACTTGCAGATAAAATTAAGCTAATTATCTCAAACCTAAACTACATGCTCCACCCCCTAGAGCATCCCTAAAAACTCACAAGCTGTTTATGGGAGGGGAGGTTACTTGAATAAAAATTGGGACACTGTTAACAAGCAAAGATAGACTAGATGTCAGATGGCAGTTAAATGTATGCTAGAGCAGAGTGTCTGGACTTCAATTTCTATTAAAACACAATAGCCCCTTCAAGAAGTAATGAGGATAGGAGGACTTACAACGTGACCTCAGGAATGTGATTCTTGTACAAAATGGGTGACTATGGTTATACTCTCTGACAGTAGCCCAAGTAGGCAGCAAATTTACTCTGACAGAATAGAAAATTCAGGTTCCTGGGCTATGTCCAAACACCCAGACTATTTGCCAGTTAGGACTGTGATTTAGTGCAATCTGCTAGACACATGATATTATGTCTCAAGAATGTCTCAGATTTGTGAAAACCACTGTAGCCTGTGTACTTTTTGATGCTGACTGCTTACATGGCAGGGAACAAGAAGGCTGTATTGAGTGTAGGGGAAGCAGGTGCATGGGCTCATTCCTGAGCTAAGTGACTTGCTCATGCTGGGCAACCCACAGAAAGTGTGATTCAGATATAGGCTTTGGGAAAAATTATGAATTATTTTGTGTGAAGGGTATTGGGATCAAATACTAAATACCAAGTCCACAATGCTAAATGGATGTAAGACGCAAGCCTACTGTAATATGGAATGTGACTCAGATGTCTTCCAATATAGTCCTTGGGACACTTATCCCAAGTTCCTAGAGGGAATAAATATAAGAGCCTGAGAGAACATGTACCATGGTAATAACACATTTGTTAAATAATAAAATGTGTAACTCTTCTTCTGGATTTTCAGATAAATGTAGTTATATCTTAGAAACTTCTTTTCTGTCTTCCTTGA